CACATATGTGGCAAATTAAAGGACAATTATGTACAAGAATTAAAAAACATCTAAAACGACATTCACAAAAAAAGTGGTTCCCCCTTTGTAATTTTTGAACACAGAATTTTCCAAAATCATACATTTGATTGGAAAAATATAAGAATTTTACACAAGTGAGTCCTCTTATGAGAGCTATGTCCGAATGACAAAACAAGAATCTAGAAACAAATAAAGTGATACAGAATTGCCGAAACAATTGCTTATCCTCATTTTGGATATATTGTCTCATTATAATAATACAATTAATAAATAATATTAGGTTTTATTTTGATTTAATAAAATTTAATTTGGCGTCAGTTATTGAAAGAAAGATAAAAAAAAGCGCTAAGAATATAGTATTTCTTGAATAAAATCTAAGTATCTAACTCAATTAATAGTAGTTTTAATTCTTTTCCAAGGATATTCTTATTGTTGGTCTTCTTCCAACCCAAATAAAATAGCAGCTTTAATTCCCTGTCAAAAATTATTACTTCTCGAAGAAAACTAACTGTATCAAATGAAAAATTAAAACTCAGGTGCTTGTAATAATATTAATTAATTAAATTAAATTCTATTAAATTAAAAAGTAAAATCCAAGTAGTACTATTTTTGTTATTTACTTAATTCTAATGATATGCATTATAAAAGATTTGATATCAACAACTGGCGTCAATCCCTTAATCCTAAATTAAATCCCTTACTAAATTAAATAAAGAATATACAACCCATAATTGCGACCCATATCTTGTCCACTCAAATATTACCACAAAAAGTTAAAGGAATATACACTTGGCGCTGCTAGATCATAGTATAACGAATCATAGTATAAAGAATGCTAAATGAATGTAATATCTAATATAAGAAAAATGGGAAACATGAGAGTAAAAGTATTTAGCGTAGGTATGTATTCGATTGGATTAAATAGTCGTACAAGTTACGAAAATTGTGTAAGCTATTATATTAGGTTCAAGTCTAAAATAAGTATACTTGGATTTATAAGACATGTGTTATGAAGAAGAAAAAAGAAATAAATAATAAACTTTATTTTTATTCAATTTAAGATTCAGACTAAATTCTTTATTAAATTTAAATTGTAATTATTCTTATTATTTATTTTTTTAACTATTATTATAATTTTTTAAAAATAACACACTTTCAAATAATATCGTTCAATCTTAACTCTATCGTGCCTTGACTAACTAGTATTATTTTTATACTCTGACTTATTATATATTTGTTTTATAATGGTATTTGTTTTATAATTGTACGAATTCTTGGACTATTTTCTTATTATCATTTGCTCTTGTACTTGTAATCACAATATCTCTCAATATCAAATGGTAAGCCACACATTGTCATTAGTATTTATAAATTCACTAATTAACATCTTTTCGTTCCAGAAATGAATTGAGTAAAATTGCAAGGAAATTCATACTTTACTTTGGATCTTTCAATTCTATAGTGGCTGCTATTGATATGCTATTGATATGCTGCATGAGTGATATGTTCACATATGTCGCATATGTTCTAAGAACTGTATTAACGCTGATGATGATTCTAAAAAGAGTCGAAACGTTCGTCTTTATGGAAATACACGCTATCAAGATCTGCACTGATTAACATTATTTTCTGATCACGCTCCAACAACTGCGTTATACTCTCATCTGCCCGTTTTCCTAGGATTTTTATTATTTGGAGAGACATAGAAAAATTGTTAAGATTTCCGTTAGTATTTTTTATATAGTTGTTTTTATATTTTTTATTGCTCAATCTAATAGTGCTAAGGGTTACTTCTTTAATATTTTGTGTTAACACTTAAATGTGGACAAGTTAACGCAATTGTGGATAATATTCTTTATTTAATATTTTATTAAATAAAGCGCCGGCGACATACATTGTGTAATTACTTTTGTTGGTAGCAAGCGATACTTATCGCGTGCCACAGATATCCGAGATTTCCGGCAAATATTGTTCTCAGTGTATCTCAGCCGTTTAAATAGAGTATTATGCTCTCGCTAGCTCCAGGTACGTTATACAATATACCTGTGTAGTGGCAATATACTGAAATAGTTTATCAAGTTTCTCAAATTGCAAAAAATAATGAAATACGTCGAATAGGGGACAGCTCTGATAATCTTGACCTTGACATATGTTGTCAAGATCATGACCTAGATACCTCCATCAAGTTTTAACCGTCGCTCGTCATTGATTAAAAAATTATTATTAAAAAAATTTGAAAAATTATGCTTTTTTTTATTATATAAAACAGAATTTTTTTGCAATAAAACAATTTTAAGTGGCTACAATTAAAAAATAATAATATATATAAAAAGCACACACCATTACGCAAGATCTTGGAAGCGAAATAATAATTTATTCAAATCGAAAAAAAAAAAATATATATATATATAGGGAAATTCTTTGTTGGTTGGATACCCTTAGCATTTTTATTCATAACTCAGATGAGAATCAACATATCATTGATATCAAGTACTACTACTATCTGGAAGCTGAGGTTAATAGCTACATTGTGGACAAAAAAAAATCATTGGGTTTTTTTTTATAGCCAATTCAAAAATGATTCCCTCAAATTTTTTAATGTAGGTTGGACATCCCCCAAAAAAACGTTAAAAATGCACAAAAACTCAAGTAAAAACACAATGTATACAAAATTTATGAAATTTCTTCAATTTATGAATTGATCTCAGTTGATTTGAACATAAAAAAATGAAAATTTGAATGAAAATAGGCTTTGAAGAGGAAAAATTAATAAAAATTGAAATGAAAATTTGGAAAAATCAATTTGGAAAAAAATCACCGAAAATTTCATTAAAATGCAATAAAAACACTTTTTATTTCACTTAATAAGAATTCCGAGCATCAAAAAATCATAAACAATTGCGTCATATGGTGAAAAATGAAAAAAAATGGGTATCCAACCTACAAAGAAAAAAAATGTCCAACTTACAAAATTGTTAACATTTAGAAGTGCATTGAAAAAAAAAATTCAGTTCATGATTTGTTCGGAATTCTCTTTTTATGAAAATACATAAAAAGTGGAGCATAGCACATATATTCACCTTAAATTTTCGATGAAAATTATTCAATTTATAACCTTAGTAAAAAATGGAAATCTTAATTTTCACTTTTTTTTCGATGTTTTTTTCACAATTTGTTTGGCACAGAAATCTGTGGCGCGTGTCTATTCGCTCCAAAATCACATATAATAAAAAGTAAAGTTTAGTATTTTAGAGACGATGACAGTCGGAGTTTTGGTGAAGGGGTGTCCAACCTACAAAGATGTCCAACTTACAAACTCTCCTCTATATATATATATATATATATATATATATATATATATATATATATATATATATATACGTTTTGGTCTTGATTAAATCATCTTCTGTATAACTTTATAATTAAATAAAAAAATAATTACAATAAAATTGAATGATTATTACATGAAAAGTTATCTAAATTATAAATTCAGTCAATTGTTATTACGATATAAACGCTTGTTTAGACTATGATAATCAGGTAAAAATGTTCGTAAGATTATAATTAGATTAATGTAAACATTTATTATTATATTGTATATAGGATGTAGCCTTCTGTGTCATTTATTGTTGAAAATTAGTTTAGTGGCACGAAGCACTTTCAATTAGATTCTATTATAACAATTTAATGAGTATACAAATTAAAGATAACTATTACAGACAAAATGAAACAATATTACAATAGTATCCCTATCGTACTTGATGTATTCATATGTACCGTTTCTTACGTTTTAATGATTATTTAATTTGGTATGGGAATTAACTTGATGCAAATTGATCAAATTTTTCTTGTGAATAATACATAAAATTTTATGGAATTTAACTTAACGCCAATTGTTAATATGTGTAATAGGCTAATGTGGCTCTTGCTCGACCTATATATTGAATCTAATAGCGCACAGTATTTTACAAACAAACCGCAACTTGTCACTAGGGAAATACGATTCAAAAAAAGCTGCGCATCACTAAACCCAGTAGTGACAAAAGTGCAACGTTGTAGTAAAGGTCATTGTAACGTAAGATTAGATTTGGTTGCCATCGAGCATGACACAAGACGCATAATGTACAAGTCGAAGTGCGTGACAGATATCTTTGTACTTTTTTTATTTATTAAACTGTATTAAGCTATCGGAAAAAGTTTCATCTCATACGATAATTATTCTACATTAATTGATGCTTTCTCATAACATTTATCAAACATTATTGTCACATCATATACATAGAGTCTTCTGTCTCTAATTTTGATTTGTTATTATACATATTTAGTATAATAACCTTTAGATAATTATATGATCTCCAGATTATTATAATATGTTGCAAGTTGAAACGGTAATTTTACATATACTGAAATTTGTTTCTCTTACAAGGGAAGTTTCACAACTATTCGGAATCGATTTGATTCTCCATAAAATATGTTGTTAAACATAAAAATCTAAGAGGCACATATTTTTTTTATACGGGCTCTACTCATGTTTAAGGGATGAAACATCTCTTTGAAACAAATATCGTCGGAAATAGAAAAAAATTTTTTTACTTTATTCGCCTCGAAAAAAAATATCGTTTGTTTCAAAGGGGTGTTTCATCCCTTAAACATGAATAGAGCCCGTATAAAAAAATATATGCCTCTTAGATTTTTATGTTTAACAACATATTTTATGGAGAACAAATCGGACAGTTATGAAACTACCAGACAGTTATGAAACTACCCTTGTTAAATTTATTTGAATGTATTAATGGATCATTATTTAAAAAATAACTTGTGATTTTTAGTAATCATTTTGAAGTCATTTTTGATGCCATAACTTGTGTTTTACTGGGATAGGGTAACACATTTTTTTTATCTTCATACTACTTTTTCTTGCTAAAATCATATATTTGAATTTCATGGAATTATCTGTATCTTTGCATTATTTTTTACAGATAAATGGAAGCACTGCATTTTCGTGTTCAATCACAAAGGTGAACTTGTTTATCGCATGTGCAATAAAGGTTACGGAAAATCAGAGTTGTGTTCGCCGGAAGGTATCACATTTCATCCGGAACGCAGTGTGCTTTACGTCGCTGATACTGGAAATAATCGTATCCAGATTCTTGAGAAGGATGGCACATATTTGAATAGCATCGGACCCAAAAATAAAAACACAGGAGACAATGTCAGATTCCGTAAAACTGGCCCAAGCAAATTGAATCAACCGACTGATGTAGCTGTCACAATAATGCATATTGTCGTTGCCGATTCCGGTAATCATAAAATAAAGGTGCAATTATCATTAAAGTTGCCTTAATATAGTTTAAACATTTAGTGCTATAGCATACAAAGAAACTTAAGCAGAAAATATAAACAATAAGAAATTCAACATATTGAATTTGCTATTGATTTTATTATGGCCTTACAGTCTCTACTGTAATTAGCTAATTTGCTTCTAGTTTTAAGTTTTTTTTTATGCCATAGCTCTTTTTTTATTGTCGGATTAAATTTGTCTCTGGATTTTCACAGAAACTTAAATTAAACGTACATGTACAAAACTGCACGTACAAAATTGCGACAATATATATGAAGAAATATTAAAAGTATGCATGTATACGTGTATGTACAATTGAGCACAGAAAGATTGCAATACTAATTATTTTAATGAGTTTCGGAACGCACAAATATTACAAGAAAACGGATAAATATTACATAAGACAGATCTAGTAAGCTACACGCATCATCCTAGAGCATTCGAGGAGCGCATTATCAGTACCATTTGTATAATGTTATACTTGTCTCACGTCTAATAGATGAAAATAAAATGATACAAATAGCGTTAATAATCTCTTTAAATGCAGTCCTAATGTACATATCTATTTCGACAGTACACTTGGTACACGGTCCTTCTGACAAATATTCTAACCTTCAGTACTGGTGAGTGCTGGTGAGTGTGCTGAAGAAATAGGTATGTACATTTGGATGGATTTGTTACACTTGAAGAAAATTTTTTTTTTTTTTTAATTCTTTTTACGATATCCCTCAAAATGGTTCAAATCTATTGAAAATAATTCCTGCCAAATTTTAGCTTGAGCGAACAACGTGAAGGTATGCTGGCTTATTTGAATTCCCTTATATTATTATACTATTAATATTCACTTTTAATTCTTTGTTGCATATGTTTTTTTATTAAATATATTTTGCTGAATTAAAATATATAGTTTTTAAGATCGCTGATTTTAAAATAAAATTTAAAGAGTTAAAGAATTAAGATTAGAAATTCAAAGAATTAAAATATAGATTACTTAAATTAAAAAAATTAACTATGACTTATGTGCAAAATTTTATGCGTAAGAATATTAAAAGATTATAAAGAATAATAAGAATATCAAGAATATAAAGAATTAAGGACATTGAGAAATTTTATTTCATATCAAATTCAAGATATCTTAATGCTAGGGGTGTGCGAGTACCTAGAAATAGGGTCAGGTAATAATCGAGTCATGTCGAGCGAATCCCGAATGTTTGGATACCTGAATGTCGAGATAAAATACTTGATTCAAAACCCGAAACTCTATTCAGGAATTCGAGAATTGATATATGATTTGGGACAAAATTGTTCTGACTGATCTTAAATTTTTAAGTTTGAAAGCATTTTATTTTTTCACGTGTGTCGTGTAATTAAATATAAATATAAAATCGTGTAGTTAAATGTAGTTAAATAAAAAAAAAGCAATGTGTGAATAATTACTTTATTTTAAATTTAAGTATAACATTTCGTTATTTTTATAAAATACTGCCAATGAACTTTTATTTCATTGTTGTCTTTTTAAAGATACATTTTCACTACTTACATGTATCGAGTTATTACTTCCTTCATCTCTCTTTTCCTCACAAATATGAGATATATTTCTATGTGAACACAGTTATATGTAGATCATGATACATCGCTATTAGCCATTACCGACCCAATTAAATAATAAACAGAACTGTGAAATACACATAACTGATATGACACATCGTATGATATTATTCAGTAAGTTGGAAACTATTGTGAGTACATATTGTATAGAGTGATTGAATTAAGTGTGAAATTAAAATGTCTCATATTAGTGTAGAAGATGAAGATAATAACAATTCAACGCACGCAAACAGTGAAAATGTGTCATTAGAAAGGCAACGATGAAATAAAAGTCTGGCAGCATTTTATAAAAATAAGTCAGCATAAAGCGAAATATTTTATTTGATCAAGAATGTTGGATAAAATATGGCAATATGAGTTGCCTTTCACAACATTTAACTTCAAAACATAATGAAAGAATAATTACAAGTTTAATGATGCAACAACTACACAGTAGCAATCGGAACATACAGTATTTAAATAAAAATTCAATGCGAGTGAAATAACTAATAGAAGCGGTAGCATGAATGATAGCACTGGATTTATAACCTTATAGTATAGTCCACGCCGCGCACACCTCCATAGCGCGCTTGCCAAGCTATCCCCGCTCCCCACGGCCCGCGCACCGAGCGATCGGTAGGCGTATACACTTCGCAATAAGCGCACCGGGTTCGGTTATTCTTAAGGATTAATATCTTGTTAATTATTGGGGAAACTTACAAAATGATAGAAAACTTTCGATTCAATTTAGTCCGCTCTACCTGCCCATGAAATATTTGATTATTTCCTGTATCATATATACAGATATTCTATATACATGTGCGCGTGTGTGTGCGTGTGCGTGTGTGTGCGTGTGCGCGTGTGCGCGTGTGTGCGTGTGTGTGCGTGTGTGTGCGTGTGTGTGCGTATACGTGTACGTGTGCGTGCGCGTGTGTGTGCGTGTGCGTGTGTGTGCGTGTGTGTATATATATATATATATCTGTCTGGAAATAATATATATACAGGGTGATTCAAAATTCCCGCATCCGAAGTATAAGACATGATATTTTATACTAAACAAACAACTTTTTCCTTTAACAAAATTGCGTCCAACAAGTTTTTGCAGTAGAGCAGATTGAAGTTAATAAACGCTTCTAGTCTACATAACGCTCAGAGCCGACGCGCGTGTACCTCGTCTATTATCTAACAATAACATTTGAAGATATTCAAATATGACTTTATTATAAATTAGTTTATGACATCTTAACACAGTCTTAAATAATAATAATAATAATTACTTTCATTACTTACGTAATAAATAATTAAAAAGAATTGTTTCTGATGCCGCATCATTTCAAAATGTAGATACATATGAATAACAATACTTTTTGCAATCCGAGCGTTCTAATTCTAAATATCGCACATTTGCGTGATAAATATTATTCAACTTAAAGAATAGCTTACTGTTAAGCGAATGCATAACTCTCAAATGCTAACAAACTGATCTATTGTATGAAACAGTAATAAAAAATAAAGTAAAATGTTCGAGGTAAGGTACATTAAGCATTAATTCTTTCTTTACCCTTTACGATAAAGAATACGATAAAAAAATCAATCAAAATTATTAATTTTCATGTTAATTTAATAATACATTTTAATTAATAATACGTTTATTAACACATTTAACAGTATATTTTAATAATAATTAAGTTTCAATAATACATTTAGCAGTACAAATTTTTTCAATGTTCATTACATTTTAAAAGTCAATTGTGCTGCTGGTACTAGTATGATATAAGATACATGAGGAGGTTGCACGGTCGGACTTGTACTTCGTGTGTGTGTGTGTGTGTGTGTGTGTGTGTGTGTGTGTGTGTGTGTGTGTGTGTGTGTGTGTGTG